AACCACAGCTGCCCATTTGCTTGGGGATAAGCCCTGCTGATATCTATGGCTTTCAAGTCCTCCCCCCGAAAACCGACCTGGGTCAAGATCTACCCCGTTACTTCACTGCGTTGTGTGTGCACGTGTGAATGCACCGAATGCAGGTCGGGGGCGACATTTTCTTTGCCTTTTGCCAGCCCCAACCTCACACAGGGGCCTGGAAGAGCAAAAAAGGCATTCGCCCCTTCACGAACAGCCTCTGCTCTCAAAAACACAAGCCTGGCCTTGGGTCCCCTTCTCCTCGGAGCCATTCCCCCTTTCAACTCTTGTGTCTTTTTTAGGCTGTGAAACCAATTAGCGACCCCCCCCCCCAATAATTAGCCCCTTGAGCTCCCTAACGGCTGAAGAGAGGGGCATAAAGGCCAATGAAACAAAATAAACGTAGAAAGTGGAAGAGGGGCCCCTGTGACGCAGCCACTAAAAGAAGGAGGGCTCAGAAAGTCAGCTCCACACAACTCCCAAGGTATTGTTTCCAGCGATGATGATGATGATAATAATAATAATAACGATAATGATAATAGTAGTAATAACAGCCGCTCCTGAGGGAGGAAATAACAGTAGCTCTTCCTGAGGGGAAAAGAGCGCGAAAGAGGCCTAGAGGAGGGAGGGAGGGAGGGAGGCAGCGGCGCCTCCTCGGTCTTTCTCTATGACTGTCAGCCTGGGCTGCTGCTGCCGCTGCCGCTGCCTTCCTTCACCTCTCCTTTCCTCTCCCTTCGCCCTCCTCCGCTCCGGAGCGCCGCCGCCGTCGAGGGACTAGGCCAGGCCGAGCCCGAGAGCGAGGCTTCCCAGCCGGAGATGGCGGCGGTTAGAATAAGGCACACTGGGTAAAAACACATTTATATACGAACCTCGCCGAGAAATTTTCCAACAATTCCTCCGTCCGACCACCATGCACCAGGACAGGAAACGGCCGCCTCAGCGCCCGCCCGCCTCGCCCAGCGCCGCCCAGAGTTGGCGCGGGCGGGCCCCGCAACCAGCCTCTCCGTTCGGCCCCATTGGACACCCGCGAGACTCCGAATACCGCCCTCGGCTGCTATTGGGTGGCTGGCGTCCGTCTCCCTCTGGTTATTGGCCGAGGGCTTGTGAGCCCGCCTCCGCGCTTTGTCGTCTCTCGTCTATGCTGGGTCCGGGGCCTCTCCCGGCGCCATTTTGTATCTAATCGAGAGAGAGAAAGAGAGAGAGAGGGATATCTATCTGTGAGGGAGAAAGGTACGGGCGCCATTTTCTCCCCATTTTTGGAAGGAGGAAGAAGGTGCGGTCCTTCTCTCGCCGTACCTTCGGGTCCACTTTTAGGGTTTGTGTTTTTTAAAAGAGAAGCCACAGGGCTTATGTGGGTTTTGTTTGAGGCTAGGGAAGAAAGCGAGTCTATAGACAGAGTTGTGGCTGGCTGCCATTTTCCTCGGGACTCATTCGACGCAGGACTCGAACTCAGGGTTTCCCTCCTGGGAGTGGAGGAGAAATAGAAATAGGAAGGGCGCTTTTCCCTCCTTCCTTTCACGGCGACGAAAAGAGAAGAAAATATTTTAATAAGAATTAAGCCGAATTAATTAAAGTTCTGCTAATCCCCCCCCCACTGGATTTTGAAGATTGGTGTCGCAATGGTACAGTGATAAATTGTAATTTAAAAAAAAAAACCGTTTTGTTCATTGGATTTATATCTCGCCTTTCTCCCCAAATGAGTTTCAAGGCGGATCATTTATCACAGTAAGAAAAGCGGCCGGTCTGGCCATTGCTTGTCAACATTGCTTGTATTTTTAGGCTGGGGTCTTTTCTCTGCTCTTTCTGCAAAAACTTCTCCCTTTCAGCTGTTTTAGTCGGAAGACGAAGTAATTGGGCACCTACCTGCCTTTTCAAGCCAAATGCATCTGAGGAAGTAGACTGAAGTCTAACAAAGTCCAATACTGCCAACTTCTTTCTTTCAGTTAGTCTCAAAAGTGCCACAAAATCTGTCTACACACTGATTCTACAGACTGACACGGCTATGTCTTTGCAAATCTTTTGGATTAACTCACATCGATCGTTTCAGTATATGGAAATTTTAATGTTGTAAGCCGCCCCGATTGCTCTGCAGAGGGGCGGGATATAAATAAAAATTATTATTATTACTATTATTATTAGATCTCAGTGCCCACCTTTTCTCCTGTTATGGGTCAACGTGAAGAAATCTCTTGTTGTTTTCTAGGGCTTTTTTTTAAATCCAAGCAGGGGTTTGTTTTATTTATTTATCTGGAGTATTTATATACGCTGCTCTTCCCCTACAAAGGCTGTCAGAGCAGTTTAAGATTGCTAATTTGACAGGTCCCTCCCTGCCTTCAGATTTACAGCCTAAAAAGACATGACACAAAAGGAGAAGGGAATGGCAAAGGGGACGGGGAACGTGAACTATAAAATCTGTTGGAAAGCTTCTATATAAAAGCTTTCCAACAGAATTTATAGTAAACTTTCCCCTTCCCCATATATGTCAATATATTTGGATGACTGCTGGCAGGGAAAGCTTAAAAGCCACAATTTTTCACTTTCTTTTACACTGTATCAACATCAGTTTCCTGTCCCCTTTATCAATAAGTGACTGTATATTGTGTGCCCTCAGCAATCATTTGTAAAACTTGGTGTTACACTAACTATAGCAATTCATTTTCAATTTTTTAGAAATTCAATAGAACTTTTGATTCCATATATATGTATATAAACGTTTTCCAACAGATTTTATAGTTAACTTCTCATTTATAAACTTAAATCTGAAAAAGTAGAATGGATCTGTAACCATTTCAGTTTGTAAGCAAAGCGTGCTGGACTCGAGCTATATCTATATATATATATATATATGGATCATTGATGCATAGTTTAGAAAGACACAAAGAAGACAATCACGGGGCCAAATCCTATGGTTAGATAAAACTATAGACACAGAGTAAATTAGGTTCAAAACACTGCAGAAATAATCCAGTTTGACAATACTTTAACTGTCCTGGCTCAATGCTAGGGAATTCTGGGAACTAGTTTTGTGAATTCTGGGAACTAGTTTAGCTTTCTCTGTCAGAGAGCTCTGGTGCCACTATAAACTACAGAGTTCCCTAGCATTGAACCAGGGCACCTAAAGCAGTCTGAAACTGGATTATTTCTGTAGTGTGTTTTGGTCCCGAGTCTTTCCTAGTTGGGAGTAACAACAGGATTCAGCCTGTAAATTACCTCGTATTATACAAGTTCATTAAACACAGACTCTCCAGCTTCCTGTAGAACTGCTCATTTTGTTAAGATGCGTGAACTGATATTTCCTGCTCTTGGATATTCTTGTCTTCAAGAAGCAGAACACAGGTTACTTGCTCACCGTTTGTTTCACAAGAAGCCTGTAGCCAAGAGAGAAAGAGATAGTAGCCCAAGGCTTCATGGACGACTGAGTATTAGTTTTAGACGCTAGCAACAGCTTCACCAGTGTCTCCCTTGTGTGCCTTCAAGTAGTTTCTGACTTATGGCAACCCTAAGATGAACCTGTCATGGGGTTTTCGTGGTGAGATTTTTCAGAAGTGGTTTGCCATTGCCATTCTCTGAGGCTGAGAGAATGTGATGACCAAGGTCACCCAGTGTGTTCCATGACCAAGCAGGGATTCGAACCCAGGTCTCCAGAGTCCAGCACTCAAACCACTATGCCACACTGGTTAGATTAAAATAAAAGAATGCCAGTGTTCTACTGCTCCTAAGAATTTTATTGAAGGACAGCGGTATAAATTCCTCCAATAAATAAAATCTGCAAGAAAGGACAATCAACTCATATAGTGAATGATACACTCACAGAACTACAGTCATTTCTTCCATTCCATTCCACCACCACCCCACGAAAATATTCAAGTCCCATTGAATAAAATGGCAGTGTGCGCACCATTTTCTCTCTCCTGGCTTCCTGTCCGCAGAAACTCAAAACTGCAAACGGGAAGTCAGTGAATCAGGAGGGATTACTGTAATCATGAACAGTCTAGCAAGAACAAAAATGTACGTTTTAAACTATTTAAGAACTAGATCTGGCTAGTTCTTACTGAAAAAACCAAAAGTATATTTTTGTTCTTACCAAACTGTTCATGATTAGTTCCTTGAGTGTATCATTTACTATAGGAGTTGATTGTCCTCCTTTCTTGTGCAGATTTTTATGGGAGGAATGTATACCACCATCCCTCAATAAAATTCTCAGGAACACTTGGAAAAGAGCACTGGCATTCTTTTATTTTAATCATTATGAAGCCTAATTTGTAAAACTAAATTTATTTATTTGTGGGTTGCTGGTTCACAAAATGAGTGCAGTAATTCCTCTTAATTCTCCAGTAAACAATTGTAATAATTTTGAAGGTTTGAAGTGTCCCTATGTTATAATAATTCCAAAGCTAATATGAAATAAAATGTTCTAAAGAACTTAAAATAAATTGCTGTAGTGTAACACCAAGTTTTCCAAATGACTGCAAAGGGCACACAACATACACAGTCACTTACTGATAAAGGGGGAAACAGAAACTTCCCATAGCAATGATAACACTATCACTACTAATCTAACACTGATCCTTCAAAAGGATCATGATGAACATTGCACGCTTTTAGGAAGAAGTGCAGTAGTCTCTTCAGGGTTGCAAGCTGTCTTTTCCAGGACAATACAAGTTTTTTATTCCCTACTCTACTGCAATTTGTCAGCTGGTAAATTTTGGTTGTCACCTGTCACCTGTCTCAGCACTCTTCTTCCCCACCCTCGTGCCCTTGGGGTTCTTTCAAACCTGTTGTTGCTTCCCCTGTGCCACTGTAACTATAAGGAGCAGCACTCAGATTAGTATTTGCCACCACTTGTTCATTGGATGTTTTTAAAAAAAGAATAAACTAAACTGCAAAACTTACCCAAAGGGTTTTTATTATTATTCACAACGCGTGAAAATCAAAAGTCAAAAAACAAATGTGAGTACACTATAGGCATAATTTTGTAGAGTGCCAGCATGGTGTAGTGGTTTGAGTGTTGGACTACAACCCTGGAGACCAGGGTTCTAATCCCTGCTCAGCCATGGAAACCTACTGGATGACCTTGGGCAAGTCACAATCTCAGCCTCAGAGGAAGGCAAAGGCAAACAGCTCTGAACAAATCTTGCCAAGAAAACCCTGTGATAAGGGTTGCTTTAGAGTTGCCAGAAGTATAAAAATGACTTGAAAGGCACACAACAATCTTGTTGACCTTAACACTGCAAAAGCCACTTGTTTCTCCAAGTGCAGAAACAGGAATAAATTATATTTAAAATTATTAACAACTGAAGGAAGAGAACATAGTACAGGAATAGGGTATGTGTAAATCTCAATATGTTGTACTAAAACTCAAGGCAGCATTGTTTGGTGCAAATACCAACTGCGTCCCAAAAAATCTGAAATACCAACATTTCGTCGCCTTGAGTTCCTATATTGGGAGAAAGGTGGGATATAAGAAAATAAAATAATAAAAATAATGTTATTATCCTTTCTTTAATCTGTTTTCCTTTCCCTACTCTAAGGCTGAGCTTTTATGAACCAAATAAGAAAAGGGCCTAAATACAGTTACTACAACTTCTATAAGTGTTGCCTTATTAGGTTTTTACTGAACAAGTAGGTACCTTTTGGTTTAGATTTAGACTAGTTGCATTGGACTTCCAACTCCCAGAAGGCCCAGATAAGCGTGACCAATAGGAAATCACAGGTGATAAAACTTATTTCTAGATTGTTTCAGATCGAATTTATCAGCAGACAACTGCTCATCCTTATTTTTTTTGCTGGAGAAGATCATTAAGGAAACAACTACCTTGTTACATTGTCTTCAGCCCTATGGGCATTAGTAAATTATAGAAATGGAATCAATCTTAATGCTTGGATTACTTAAAGTAGTGCTATAACCAGGTGTCTGATTCAGAGACTTGCTTTACTACCAAGCTGCAAGTGCTCATGATTATAACTATGCTGGTACATGAGGAATAATCCATGTTCCTACAGACCATCCAGGGGATGTGTTTTTCCAACACGCTAGACAGCTGTGCCAGCAGAAATTAATGAATGAGAGTTTTCTCTAAATGAAAAGAACTACCTAAATCACAACTCAGCTAAAAGTGGATTTAGTCAATTTTACATTTTTTAAAGTGAAACAGTTGTGTAAATAAAATTTCCAAATGACCAATACTTTACACAGAAAAGGAGAGCCAAAAATTGGAGAAATTTGGTGCCTCTGCAATTAGTTTTTAGGATCTGTATGGCATTTTCTGCTTTTGATAACTAGCTTTTAAACTGAAAAATCTGGATAACACCTGAAATTCTAGTCAACACATACACCTGTCTCAGAAATTTTGGCAGGACATGAAATAAACTGAAAAGAGCAGCAACAAAGTTTACAAGACAGGTTGAGGAATTCAACTTTATTGTGCTAGTCTGCCCAGAACCTAAATGCAAAATTAGATGGATGGACAATGCCCTTCTCTTAAGCAGCTAGGAAAGGGGTTTCAGTACCCTGCTTCTTATTAAATCTACATTTTGGCAAAGTCTGGAGACAGAAAAAGAAACATAAATGAAAAGGGACAGCCCTTATCTGCCTTGAGACAATGTAAGAGGTAGGTATACTACTGGGAACCTTAATTCCAAGCACCGCCAAAATGCATATATATGAAAACAAACACATCACACAAAATGATTTTCTGAAGACTGCATTTTTGAATATCATAATATATATGTTCATTTCAGTTTCACTTTTATAGATATAAATTCAATTCAATTTTCAACCTGCCCTTAAAAGTTTTGGAGGCTTACATTTAAATTAAGGTAGCTTGTTCAGCATCAGTTGTAACAGCAGATAACATTAAACATAAAAACAGACAGGAGAAAAACATTTTACTTAAAAGATTTGACACCAATGATCAAGGCAAATCAAAAAATTCAGCATTTAAGATTTTATTTTCATGTTTATTTTGTAGATGGGGCATTAAGCAGAGTCGCATCATTTTGGTGTTGGCTGCTTCCTAGAATCATTTTAATAGTGGTCCCAGTAGGGGGGGAAGTTCATTGCTCTTCTAGTTAAAATGCTAGCTACTTATACCTGGAGGCAAGATTATAGCAAGGGAGAAATAATGGTTGCTTCAAAAATGGGACTTGGTAACTCTAAAGCCATTTCAGATTATCATATCTGTTTTAATAAGCCACAACAGCAGTCAGCCTTTTGTTTGTACATACAGTCCCTTTGTACAAGCAACAATTATGCCAGGCATCTTTATAGATTCCCGTTTCATCCAAGCAAGGAAACTTTGGTTACCAGCTTTGAAGAAACTAGGAATTTAAACCGCATAAATGATTTCAAAATTCTGGCGTGTTCCAAACTGAAGCTTCCTGATACCCACCAAACAGTAATTTTAGGTAATTTAAGGGACTTGCCAGCTAAATGTGGCTTGCTCAAAGGTGCTACACATGTGTGCCATATTTTTATCTTGGCTTTCTAAACCAGAATGATTGTCTGAACTGGACCACTGTCTTAGCTGGATCAGGCAAAAGAAAGAATGTCAATTTTTAGGTGTCTTAGATGTGGGTGGAGCAGATGTTAAAACCCTCACCCAGGTGCTGGAAAAGGAACAACAGGATGAGAATAAACATATTCCCAAATACAGGAATAAAACTTCAGATCCAACCCAAGTTAGCCAAATTATTTTTAATAACTGCCTACGTAGATGTTTCACTGCCACACTTCAAAATACACTCCTGTAAAAGCAGAACTTCATGTCAGATTTCACATGCTGCTGAGAAAATGAACTCCCATCTCAAGCATGAAGGTTTCTGTATTCAAATTTCCATTTGTACATTGACAGCTTTGAGAAAAAAAAAACAAAGGACACAAAGGGTGTTGCCATTTTTTTCTTTTTTAGCAGCAATGAAATACCACTAACCCCTTTTTACATAACCAAATTCAAGTCACAACCAGTGGTGACTGCACCACAAAGTCACCAGGTACAAAACTGCTAGTTTTAAATTAATAACTTGAAATTTTCCCCAGAACATCCCTTTTTTTTATAAACAATTTGCTATTTTTGTACATAGGCTAGCAGGCTTGTTTCAATATGAAAGTGCTAAATCATTTACAGATTTAAATCAGTTATGTAGTGCTACAATAAGTGTCCGATATTCTACATATGAACAAACCTGATAAATGGAAATGATGGAAGTGTTAAGTAAGGCTATCCAATTACCTTTATGTACATCAGAAGAATAGATACCCAGCAGGGAGGAGGTAAAGGGGAAAAGATTGGGCAAATAGTCCCACAGGTGTAAAAATTAAATTGGCCTTCTAGCTTTTGTACTGTAAATGAGACCTTTCCAACAGTCCTGCAGCCAATGCCTTTTTTTCTTCATAGAAAGGAAGCTGCCTTCATGACATTCCCTCTTGATTTTTGATTTCCACAGCGTGTCATTTGAAGCTCAAGTGTCAGGTTCTTCCTGTCTTCATAAACCCTTCTTTCCAGTATTAGGTTGCATGATCAAGTCCCACTTCCTGGGCTGGTTTTTCTTTTTTAAACGTTCAATCTACCAATTCATTTAGAGTGAGTTGTAGATAACATGAACCAGTTCTGGAACCACTATATTGGGAGGAACACAAGCTCTTCACTACAATCACACAGTAGGAGGAAAAGTAGTGATAATTCAATTCATTCCTGGGGCTGGACCACCAAAATTGAATGAACTTGGCACAACTGGAGCATTGAATTTATATCCACCATGCTTTTCAATCATTTTGGATTCTGAAAGAGGAGGAAAAAATTAAATTACTCAAATTTTATAAATTATTTCCATACAGGTTGCATTAGCCATAATTTGTGATGTTTACTGTTAGCTTACACGACAAATATGCCTGTTTTTGATATTCCTCTCTTCATATAGAAATAATGAGGAATGCAATGAAAGGGAACATGATCACTGACTGTATCAGTTTACTGCGTTATAAACAAAACAATTATACAGGAAATATAGACCATGGAAATGCAAAACAGTTTATTTTAAATCTTTATTGTAAGATAGTACACAGTGCACCTACAGTATCTAACAAATGCTGCTCCATCCAGTCTTTCTTTAAAAGCCTGTACTAAGGAGATCCTCATTCTCTTTCTAGAAAATGCACTGCAGTGCTAACTCTCAAGAACAAAGAGCTCCAGGAATCCAGAAGTTTTGTCAAGGAACTATCTACTTAACTATATACTTATTTACAACATATTTATTCAGTCTCAACACCAAGTTAGCACTGATGTATTTATGCCCATTTCCTGTCCCAATTTTAATAACAATTGCCATTTTGTAATATGCTTCCAAATCAGAATATGTACTAGGTCAGCTTTCAAGCATCAAATGAGAGCTCAGAGTGGTCTGGTCATAGATGCCTCTAATAAAACGTCAATGAGACAACAAACCCCAACAATTTTAAGAACCTCACCATGGGCTGCTCTCCGTTGATCTGCTAAAGTTGCTATGTCCTGTAACTGTTTTCTTTGTTCTTCATTAAGACCACGTGTCAATGCTTGGTACCACACAGGGTTACGATTCTGAATTGCTACAGAATAAAGAAAAAAATTAAAAACTTTAAAAATGTTGGTCAGACTGAAAATTGAAAACTGTCTTAATTATTGAATTCTAACTAGAACTATTAATGTTAAACTTCCATAGCATTAGATCAAAGTTACACAGGCCTATGCCTCACAAGGTTTTTTATGCTATGGGTTGAGTTCTTGTAGGTGGCTTTAAGTATCTTTTAAAACAATAAGTAAACAACGTAATAGTTACTGAAGACTCAGAAATCAAAACTTTGTGTTAGGAAGCCAGAATAGTAGGGATTTCTCTATCCTGAACAACTTTCTATTCTGCCACTACCACAAATTCTACTTCTCTTTTAGTGCCTTCTCTCATACCTAGACATTAATCTCTATTAAAATGAAAGTGCTGCTATCAAAATGACATGCATGTTAACATTAGCACATGAAAAAAGATGAAATGAAATATAAAGATATGCACAACTCAGAATTTT